AGATGTTTGCACTCAGCTTCACTACCTTTGTCGTCAGTGGCTGCAACCAGAAAAACACACCAAGGCTCAGATGCTGGACCTGGTGCTCCTGGAACAATTGCTGGCTGTCCTTCCTCCAGAGATGGCAAAATGGGTGCGGGAGTGTGGAGCAGAGACCAGTTCCCAGGCGGTGTCCCTGGCTGAAGGCTTCTTGCTGACCCAAGAGGAGGAAAACATGGAAGAAGAGTTGCAGGTGGGAGAATATAATCATGGCAGCTCTAAAGAGGATCTCTCCGAATTTGTCAATTCCTGTCTAGCAGAATTTTCTGAGATTATTAACTCCTAAGAGAATTTGTTCTATTCTTCTGGAGGATGTATTTGGGGCAATTCTTTCACTCTGTTTCTACTTTCAGCAATGGATATTGAGGGTTGCTAGTTGGAAGGTGCAATATAATAATTCATTTATATCTCTGTAATCTTCCTTTGTTTCTTGTATCACATCATGTCCAGAAATGCGGGCAAGCTGTGACTGAGTATACGAAGGGGAGGAAAGATTCATTCAGATCTTCTCAAGAGCTGCTCTTCAGGGAGAATTTCCAGGAAGATCAAAGTCAAGACGCTACGCAAGGTAAGAAAAGCTCTTTCTGCGTGAAGTGAGATTTCAACATTTAGCTGGTCCTTTCGCTCCACTTTATTGGATTGTCTCTCTTTAACAAATCTGCTTCCACTATTTTTCTCTTTCTCATAGAGAGTAGAAAGCTGTCCTTGGACTTTTTAGAATCACCTCTTTGTGCTGGAGCTGAAGGATTAGCTGAACCGCTACTTCAGGTAAGGAGCACAAACATTGGAAAAGGTCCGTAAATCTTTTTTTTAAAAAAAAAAAAACAAGTTTTATTAATTTCAGAAACAAACAAATCATCATCAACCATTACATATTTGAACCTTTTTCCATTATAAATTTTACAAGTCAGATAAACCTTATCTTATACAATACAATTCTATTTTAAACCATTTCTAAATGAGCATAAAAACATCTCTTGTCCTCTATTTCTTTCTGACTTGATTATCGTCATTCTCTTTCTGTGTTTCTAGAAGGTTTCACCAATACTTCTCAAAAACATAAACAGACACAAACAAACATATAAAAAATCTTTTAGTAAAGTAACTTGGCCCCCCGTACCTCTCTTTATATGGGCTTTAATTATATTCATGCTCATCTTACAGATCATTACCTATTTTATTTACCATTCTGTATCTTCTATATATACTTCTCCACACATTTCACTCTTCATAATTCTATCTTATTCAATCCATCTTAATTTAAATCATTATATTTGTATCTTTTGCCCATCCTTTATTATCCCTCTATCTCATTCCTTATAATGAAAAAAAAAAAAAGAATTTCTCCTGAAATCTCTAATCAGAGTATGATGCCTTTCTATCCTCTCCCTAAATATTAGATTAACATTTAAAATAACACCTAATACCCAATCTGATTCTGCTTGGTACATTCTATCTATTAATTTTTACTTTTAATAACAATAAAAACAGAGTAATAAATCAAAAATGTTTAAATACATAGTATCCTCCTAAATACATAGTTAAATAATAAATCTAAATAATAAATCTTATAGCATTCTCATTGCCTTTCCCTTCAATATTTTATTACATTTTAAAAATCAATCATTATTAAACATTTCAACATTTTAATTTCTTATTAACTCTTAAGCCATTCTAATTTTCTATTTCTAATACAAATATTACAATACCGTCTTATGTACCTTGCAAAATCTTTTTTAAGAAAATTTATACTTCACCCTTTATCCCTAAAAAAGATTCCTCTTTTCCCATCCAATTTTAAAACTTTGTGGCTTTTCTCCGCCTTTCCCCTTTCTATCTTCCCCCACCAGATCTTCCTACCCCCCCTTCTTCTAACCTCTGTCTTGCTGGCATCCCCTCTCCGCTGTATTCCCTCCTTCTCTTGTTTGCTATCATTGTATTTATTTTGCATCATATTTTTCTCTTTCTTAAATGTTTTTTTAGATCTTAAGTCCTTCATTTTCCTCGCTTTCTTCCTTCCTTCTTTCTTAGATAAATTTTGGGATTCACCAAAGATGGTGTCTTCGTCCTCTTCTTGTTGTTGTTCCATCTGTCGCATTGTCTGTTCATAGTTAACCAGCGCCATTTCTAAAAATAAAAAAGCTTTTTCCATACCATCTTTACAGGCTGCTTTTGTTTGCTCATATTCATCCCTCAGTTCCTCAAAGGAGAAAGCCATTATAAATCTTTTCTTTTCTTTTTTCCCTCTTTCTTCTTACTCCAACCAAAATATTCCAAAAGAAAAGTAAGACAATCCCAAAGTCCACAATCCTCAATCAATCCAAGCCAAGCCAAAATTTCCTCTTTCTCTTCCAGGGGTAGTATCAGACAAAGGAAAAAAGAAAATCCAAATCTGTGTTTTGAAGCCTTATTAAAATTTTATTTCTGTCTCCAAATCCTTAAGGCATCTCCTCCAACAAAATCCAACCAGATAAATATATTTTTTGTCCTCTCCCTTCCGACTATCCCATAAAGCTAGTTTTACCTGAAAAGAAAACAGGTTTCTCAATATCCGTTTGTTAATTCCGTCGGGGGGGGGGAGAGTAAACTTTCCTTTCAGCACCTCAGAATTGCCGCTTACTTTCTCTTGTGGAAAGAATCATCCAAAAAGCCATCACTTCCAGGAATTAAATTAAATATATCTCAGAGTCCTGGATCGACCAAGAAGACTTTCACTTTTAAAAACTTTCTCCTCTTCCTCCTGCGCATACTTGCCCAGCTGCCGGCTTCTTTGTGGCGGCCATTACGGACCGCCGCTACGCCGTCTTGGTAAAAGGGGGTTCTGCCGGCCAGGGAGGGGGTCTGCAACACCCCCAAACCCTTTTCCGGATCTCCCCTACCTTCAGCTGCCCCTGCAGGGCAGCCTTGCTCCGCAGCCTTTCGGATCGGAGCCCCATAAGCGGCTAGCGCGGCAGGGATCGCGCAGCTTCGCGAATCCCTACCGCTCGCAAAGCCGACAAACCGGAAATCCCGTAAATCTTCAATGGATTATATTTTGTTCTAGAGTTCAATGTATAAAATTGCTTTTATGTATACGTATTTGACATCAGGTCATTGAACATTCACACTCAGCTTAGCCTCCCCTCTTCCTTTGAAGGCAAGGGTATCAAACTCAATTTTATTGACAGGTGCCTCAGGACTGTGATTGACCTCATGGGGGTCCAGGCGGGCATGGCTATCTGAGAGGGCATGGCTAGTTTGACGCCACTCCCTAAACTGCTGCTTCCTCTTCACATAGGGTAGACCAGGATGGCTCCACGGGCAGGATCCAACCACTACACGGGCCTTGAGTTTGATACCCCTGTTCTAAGAGGATCCTTTGTGAGATGCCTTCTCCACGCATCCTGCTTCATCATTAGGTTTCATTGACCAGACTGTTGTTAGCATCAGAGCGCTTCTGTTTCCCAGGGTTAGTCTCACATACCATTACAAAAACATGTCCTTTTTTTGCCTTTTAAAAAGCATCTTTGGGACAACTGTGACCTGATGATTGAGAATCTCTATAGACATATAGTGTTCTGTTACAAGCTCTTCCAATTCCTTCATGAAGGTTTGGAGTTTGGGTATGTTGGTCCCTCAGTGGATAAAGTAAGCCATTGGAAAACATGTCAGGTGGGTTTTGCCAGTATTTTGCTCTGCCCATCCTAGGAAGAATGGGAGTCACTGACAGGTAATGGATTTAAGACACAGCTATCAATTGACAAAGAATATTTTAGTTCGTTGCACTGTAAGGCATTCCAAACACTTCCAGCTTGATCAAACATGATTTGGTTGTGCCATTAGCCAAAAGCGGTGTGATCTTATTCTTAATTCTGCAGAAGATTCTCATTTTTTTTTCCAATGGATCTATTTCCTAGAATTGGTGGAGGAAAATTATCCCATTTTTCTTGGGATTATCTGCTAACAAGGAACCTTGTGTTCTTTTTCAGGATATTGTTTCTTATGAGGAAGTGGCTGTGTATTTCTCCGAGGAGGAGTGGTCTCAACTGGATGCTGACCAAAAAGAGCTTTACAGAGAAGTCATGCTGGAGAATTCCAGGAATCTCTTTTCTCTGGGTAAGAAACCCTTTCTATGATCAGGAATTTAAAGTAGGGCCTTGAATGTTATTTTTGATTTTTTTTAATCATTTATTTACATTGCATTCAGAAAGTATTCAGACCCCCTTCACTTTTTTCAATTTTGTTATGGTGGTGCATGATTCTACAGTTATTGAAATGAGTATTTTGTATTTTGTGAGCCGAAAACATTAAAAAAAACTATTTAATGAGGGTTGTTCCCTTCTTGGAGATATGCCCACTTGTGTACTGAGTTTGGCATTAGCCTAAGTTGAGGATGGGGAGCTATTTTCATCCAGAAATTCCCTTTGGCTTTCAAAGATTTGGCTCTGCAGACAAGTGGAGCTGAGACTTAGTTTGAAGTTACGAAGTGCTTAGTATGTTCCTGCCCTAGCATGATACATTGTCCAATACACTTTGGGAGTTTGTATCACCATGGAATTGTCCCAGGAGAAAGATTAGGTAAGGGCTGTGATCT